CTCGCCCGCCCACGCAGCTTCGCCTCGCCCGCACGCACGGCATGCACGAACACGAAACCGAAATCGAATTCCCGGTAGGGGGGCTCTCCGTTCCACTTCGATCTCACCCCCTCACCTCCGATGGCTGAGCAAGGGTCGGCCAAGAAATAGAAGTACGCGTGCACGCCGTTCGGAAGAAATTTGTAGAAACGGATAAGAAAACAAACTCAACAGATGGGGTTGCGGCCCATCAGTATTAGGCAGTCTTAGGGAGCTACACACCCTTGAAAAAGGAAGGCCGTGAAATAAAATTAGAATCGGAGATATAGGGCGAATCCAAATGACGCCTGGGTGTAGCATAATCCATGCTGATTACAGGAACATTTGAAAACTATAGTACTTGCACTGGAAATGGACGGGCCACCAGACCCTTCGGACCCATCCCCACGGGACCCCCTCTCCCCTTTCCCTCCCCTTTCTGGTCCTCGTCGCTAAACATTAGTTAACGTGATCCTTTTGCTCTTCGCCCTGATCCTTACTCCCCTTTCTCCTTCTCTCCTCCTTCTACCTCTCCCTGCGGCTACCCGACAATGATCCTATACAATCATGCTTCGGCAATGGTTCGTCGAGGGGCCTGACTGACTGGCGTGATCACGAGGGCGTCCATCCCAGTCTTGGCATTGTACGTCTCGAAGCCGTGCTTGAATTCATCAAGAAAAGAACCATCATAACCTAAGGTACTGTACTTAGCACTTCGTGCTACGCGAAACGCGTTTATCTTCGCGCCCTCGTGCCGCACCATGGTGACGTCACACGCCAGCAGCAAACCGGATACAAGAAAACGCTTGCGCGAACATTTCATGTCTACCTTGCGTGCGAATGGCAGTGCAGCCGTCTCAATGTCTGTACGCCGCATCATTGGGAGCAGAGACGTTCAACAAGAATATTGAATTCGCATCTCGCACGGAGCTGGCCTCGAGATTGCAAAACCATGTTGTGCGAAGGCTGTTGTTCAAAAACCTCGGCAAGACTTATGTTGCTCCGATCGCACTTAAGGACCACATCCCAGAATAATTTCGAGCAACTGGAAAAGTGTGGACAGAGTGTCGAAACTGTGTCGAAACAGTGTCGAAAGAGTTTCACCAAGGGCCCGACACGTGAAAACCCTCGAGATTCGGTACTTGTTTGGTGCTCGAAATTATTTCTGGTGGTCAAGGCTAAAGTAGGTTGGAACATCAGAAGGCAAGACCAAGTGAGTGCGCCCTGCTGCAAACAACCTCGGGGTAGGGAAATCCACGTCGAGCCGAGCACTCGCCGTGCAAAACACCTGGGCACAGCTCACCATAGCAAACAATTGCTCTCTTGTCTTGCCATTGCCTGGACGCGTCGCCATCTTCGATGCTCTCCACCAGAGGGCCCTGCTCGAAAGCCCCGAGGAAGGTATTTGGTGCAGTGAGGTCGAAGGCGAAACGAGCGGGCATCCCTGATGCCCCAGGGCGGACACTCGCAAGTGAGCCTGGAAGTCTAATGTTTCCATGTTCCTCCTTCCTCTAAGCTGCTCGAAGCACTGTGCCTCTTTGACTCTCACATGTTTCGAAGGCAAGTGGAAAACACATCGCGGTCGCGAGAAAACCGCACGCGAGGTGGAGAGAAGAACTCGGGAGGACATGTCCCGCGCTCACGAAGTGGCCCTCTGGAGGGGGCGCTCTGAGGAGGTCGCAAGAGCCCACCGCTCTGAGAGTCCCCTGGTGGCCGCCCCCACACCTGGGAAAATCGCACGAGGCCGCCTCGGGGCCTCCCGAGGCCCCATGGAGGCTTCCGTAGAATTCAAAACAAAAAAAAGCCATTCATTACTGGATCGATTCCTCGATCTGTGCAGGCATCCTCGATCGAACTTCTTCCATCGGCGCGGGCTGCTGCGACCGGCGCGGAGAACCCCCTTCTCTGGCGCGAGGAGCGCGCCGAGGCCAGCGCCAAAGGCGCCGCCAGGGGTGCTCAGAACCGACCCGGCAAGAACTCCGCGCGGAGCTCCGGACATCTAGGCCTGTGCAAAGTGTTAGCCTCCGCCCCCCTTTGCACTGGCTCAAGCGGCCTCTCCTCCTCCTCCTCCTCCTCCTCCTCCTCCTCCTCCCCCCGCCTCCTCCTCCTCCTCCTCCTCCCTCCTCCTCCCCCCGCCTCCTCCTCCTCCCCCTGTTTCAAAGTGTTAGGTTCCGAGGCCGCTCACGGCCCCCCTGCGTGGGCCGAGGCGGCAGCCAGCTATAGGACAAGAGGCGCAGCGGCGCCGCAGCAGTCAAGGGAACAAACCGGGGTGGGCGGGCGGGACAAAAACGGTCCCAAGCTTGTGAGCCCAAGATGGCAACAGGCATGCGGCGCGCACGCAGCCAAGAAGCGCGGGGGGGCGCGAGAAATCTAACTCAGCTTCACCTTGGTGAATCAGAATGTTTCGTCGGTCGGGGATCGACTGACCCGGGGGAATCCAGACCCCTGTCAGTCAGGCCCTGCAGGATCCTGCAAGGTCCCCGAAGGCTCCTGCAGGCTCCTGCGCCCCAGCCTGGGTCAGTGCACCCCTGGCCCTGCAGGATCCTGCAAGCTCCGGCGCTCTGGCTGGTCCCCGTTTGCAGTGGTCCCCGTCTCTTGAGCCCCGACCATGGGAGCCTGCGTGGCCCCCCAGGCGCTGTCCGATTTGGGTCTGGGGTTTGGACCGGAATCGGAACACACCCGGGACCAGACCTCGCCCCTACCACACGCAAGAGCCACCCTGGGTAAGAGTGACTTTGAGTGCGCGGCTTTTTGGGGGCCGCGCGGGGGCCACACACGAGCGCGCAAGACGCTGCCATCGCATCGCTGGGCCCGCACCACCACGTCACTGCGGCGCGAAAGGTCACTCTTTTACGTCTTGTCGATGTCCGATGCGTGGGAGCCTCCGCGGCCCCTGTATGACAATCTGGGCAAGAAGGGGAACACATCTTAACCAGCCTCAAACGTACCCCTATCCCTAAGATTGACACGCCAAAAGGCGATGCCAATCTTAGGGATTCGCCCTCACAAAGGGAACCCCTAAGATTGGCATCGTGATGAGGAGGTGCCCAGCATAGGGATAGGGATATGTTCCAGGCTGGTAAACATCTGGAATCGGATTCGGACTGGGCTTGCCCCCTCACGAGGGAGACGAGACACACGAGGAGGGCGGGGGGAGCGACAGACCCAGGCGAGGAGGGGCAGGAGGAGGGGAGGCCAGAGGCTGCCCAGATGCAGCAGAGGCTGCTGTGTTAGTGTCGCCGCCCAGGGCTCCCCAATAGCGGGGAGAGCAAGTGACCACAACCACATCGGGGGCACCCTCTACGAGGAGGAGGAGGAGGCGGAGGAGGAGGAGGAGCGGAGGAGGAGGCGGAGGCGGAGGAGGAGGAGGAGAAGGGGGAGGAGGGGAGGAAGAGGAGGAGGAGAAGGAGGGGGATGGCTTGCGCGTGCGCCCAGGAGGGGCTGGGACAGGTGGCCAGGTGTGCAGTTGGTGGGCCCCGCGGAGGCGTCAAGCGGCGAGGGGCGTGGCAGGGTGGGGGGTCCGGGCACGGAGAGTGGAAGAATGCCAGACACGGAAACGCCATGAGCATAGGCGCTTACACAACATAGCACGAACGCCAACAGAAGAAACAAGACGGGCCCGCCTCTTCCAAGAAGCAGTGGTGCTTCTTCTAAGAAGCCCTCCCCCCCTCTCCCTGCTCCCCTTCCGTAGACGACGGGACAACGCCATAAGCATAGACTGTTGGTGGGGCCCAGTTATGTTTCTGGTGTTTTGAAAGTTATTCTGGCGTGATGTTTTGTCTTCTGGCGCGGAGCGCCACAAGTTTATGTTTCTGGCGTTCTTCCTTCTTCGATGCAAGAGGGCACCCCACCCAAAGCCACGGCCGCTCTCGACCGTCTTCTGTGCCGGCTGCAACGCATGGGGCTGCAACACAGTCTCGCTGATTGGCAATATCGGACCCCAACCCTTTTGGGCAGGGGCCCAAGTTAGGAGGCCGAAAGCATCAGCAGGGGTAGCTGCATCAGATCAAACACCCATATGATGTGCCCCCGAGGCAAAGACGGTGACCTTAAGCTACGCTAGACCTTCATCGTGTCAGTGAGATTCGGGGTTCTGTTTTTTTTCCGTGACTCGCGTCCCAAATCCTCCCACAAATCCCGTAGGTGGGCGACACCGGCGGCCTGATCTCGGCCCTCATGTATGGACGCCCGACATGGGTACGGAAAAAATGGGTACAATGCCCAACAACAAATGTTGTCCCAAACCAACAGCGGCCGCTGTTGGGCACGCGGCTTTCTGTCTCGAATGGACACAGGCCGCGGCGGCGTGGACAGCGAATCCTGCTCAAAATGAACAGGAACTGGTGTTGGGCATTGTACCCATTCTTTCCGTACTCATTTCGGGCGTCCAGATCGTGGCGAGAGGGGCACCAGCACCGTGGGGGACCTACTCGCAAAAAGTAACTGCTTGCAAATGGCCCGGATCCGCCGCGGGGGACCTACGACAAATTACAGCAAAGCAGACATGTGTTTTTTCTCGGACGTTTGCGAATAGGCACTTTGCGAATAGATGAACGCGCTCTTTGGACGCCCGACATGGGTACGGAAAGAATGGGTACAATGCCCAACAGCAGCTCCTGTTCATTCTGAACAGGACTCGCTGTCGGTGTCGCCGCGGCCTGTGTCCATTTGAGACAGCGGGCCGCCTGCCCAACAGCGGCCGCTGTTGGTTTGGGACAACATTTGTTGTTGGGCATTGTACCCATGGTTTCCGTGCCCATTTCGGGCGTCCAAACGCTCGGTGAACAGTGGGACATCCACCCAAAAAGACTCGCACATGCCGGGCGCATGCTGGGCACACGCACGCACACACGCCAGCGCAGGAACGGCCGCGCACGAGCCTACCCACGGGCACCGAAGCGCGCGCGGTGCATGGGGAGTGGAGGGAAGCAAAAGGGGCAACAAACGGCCGACTCCTTGGTCTTTGCCATGCCAGGGTCCACCACGAAGTCCGCCCTCCCCAGCTGGGGAGACGACCTCCTTTCGGGGACGCGCAAACATGGATTTGCGATCCATGGATTTGGCGCGCGGTCGCCAAATCCATAAATCGGGGGAGGTGCCTCCCAAACAGACGGCTGGTGCCGCCTCGCTCGGCGGCGGAAGTCCGTAATTCTCAATGGAAACGGGAGGGCCAGTCGCTAATCCACGCCCCATTGATCCATGCTTGTAACCGCCTGAAAGGAAGCGATGGAAGAAAATTGGATGTCCGTCCGCCCCGTAAGGAAGACGGACAAGGTGAAGCCGCTCGATCACTGAAGCAGGAAAACGCGCTTAAAACATATGGGGATCTGGGACTACAGGGGGGCCTTCCAAAAACAATTCAAAATGAAAACAGACCCCGAAGAAATGGCTGGACTTCTGGGGACGTCATACTGAAAAAATCAGGACGTCGTAGTGTTATCCGCATTCGTTGGACTGCTCTTGTGCATCCTGGGGAGGACACCCTTGGATTTTCTGTGTTTTGGGCGGCGGAAGGTCTCACGTTCTTGAAGGACGTTCTTCTGTCCGGGGTACGACCGTATTCGAATGCGGGAGCCGAGGCGGGCATGGGTGGAATCCCGCACACCTTTGAGCAGAAACATGTTTGTTCGTCGGCGGCGAGGCAGAGGTAAATTGCACTGGCGGTCAACCTTTCGGGGTAGCCGAAGGCCCCTCGGCGAGAACGCGCGCGTGCAAAAAGGGCAGCCCCTGTCGATCCGCCGAGGACAGGACTCGAGTGTCGTCGCTCCCGCACAAAAGAGGGGAAGTCGCCGGGGACTGGTGGACGACGGCGGTGTTCTGGCGCTGCCCTCCGAATAGATGCCATCGATGGTCAGAGAGGCCTCCGCGATGTTCGTGGCCACGATGCACTTCCTGCACCTCCGCGCAACAATTCAATAAACACATCCAATAATAAATCGGCCTGCCAACCACTGAACCACGGGAATGTATTGTCCCACGATGGCAACGGAAAATCTGTTCCAAGATTCTTGCATCAAAATTAATTACCCCATCTACTGTAAGACCAAGGAGGGGCATAATACGGACGCCGAACAGTTTATTCAGGAGCCGAACGCTCTCCTACAAAACGTAGAGGCGGAGCGAACCACCATCAATTGTGTCTACCCCGCCGCGCTCTGACGACCTCCGCTCCACCAGAGCCCCCTCTCAATATCAAAGAACCCCTAGTCGCCTCGCTTCGACCTGACTGATAGCTCCTGTGCCAAAAAATACATACCTGACATCACAAAATCAATCAGCATCGGATCGGCAAATCGGATCGAATCGTAATTTGCACTGGCACGAAACAAGAATCCGCCGACTCCTTGTGGGTCTCTAGGCGCGTGAAATCCCCCCCCCCATCATCCCCCCCCAGGGACCCCGAACTGGCAATTCGACCCCCCGCCGCCCAGCCCGGCCGGACCCCGGACCGAACGCGTCACAGGAACCCAAAACTCGTCAAAAGGGGGTACAACAGCCCGCCAAGAAGGGACCAAAACGCTCCCCGGACGGTCCCCGAGACCACGCTTCGCCGACATAGCGCTCCCAGACGCCCACGATGGCCTCCAGGCGGTCTCCGAAGCTGCCAGCACGCACCAGAAAGGCCCCGAAGATGCGCCCCGAGAGGGTCGCAACAAACAAAATCGGCCCATATGCTCGCCTACTCGGCAATCACAACGTCCACAACAGGCAAAGAAACCTTCAACGTCGCTCCCAGACGACCAAAGGGGCCCCACAGCAGGGTCGCTGAAGGTCCAACGACAGCCCACGAAGCCCCCAAGACAGCCTATGAGGGCCCCCAGACGGCTCCAACGCGGAGTCCACAGGGCACATTTTCGAGCCTTCGGCTCCAAGACGCTCCCAGCCTGCTCCACGAACACCCCAAAAGGGCCTGCGGGACCTCCCAGAAAACCTCCTACCCCTCCAAGAGGCCACGAGGAAGTCCCCAAGAGGCCCCAAAACTAATGCAAGACGACCCCGTCAGGCCTCGCACGAGATCTTTTTCACCATCCGTGTGGCCGCCTACCTGTATACCGCGCAAGGTGGCGGGTTGCGCCGCGTCCCATTCCAAACCGCTCGTCCAGTTTTTGGACCGCCGCATGCAGTCCATGGGCGCGGGTGCTGACAGGCATTTTCCCCAAATCGTCACTCCTCCTTCTCCTCCTCCTCCGACGACCCTCCTCCGCCTCTCCCCCATCCTCCCCCTCTTCCTCCTCCTCCTCCGCTCTCTCCTCTTTGGTACCATGTCACCATCTCCGCGTCTCATCATCATCGCCATCACCCGCACCATGACCACCACTATCACCACCACCACCACCACGGATCACCATCACCACCGCCACGGATCACTGCCTTGTCGCGCGTCTGGACACATGTGATGCAACCCGCATCCGCCATACCCATTCGGGGCCTTCAGACGTGTAATATTCGCCCCGTGAACGGCCCCACATGCCCCCAGACTCGCTCGGGGATGGCCCCGAAGAGCGTCAAGCCCGCCCACCCAAAGAAACAAGACAACACAAGTACGCCCCAGGACAGCAACACGACATCCCCAAGACGATCAAGGGGTCGGCGGATGTGGCGTAAGCCGATAGAATCGGAACGGATCAACTGCGACGAGATGCACGACAGCGTCACGTAAGCATCGGACCGCAACGGATGGGATCGTCGGAATACCCGAATCGAATCGGACAAGGCCAGTCGGAATTGGTACGGTCGGACCTAGAACAGAAAAACATCCTTCAAGAATCTGCCAAAACACCCCAAACCACAAGATCACTCCAGGAAACTCTTCCCCACGGTGCAAAAGAACATCCAACAAACATAACGAACACTTAGGTACCTCCCCGAACCGACCTCGACCTCATTCCTCGGTCCGACCGTATCGAATAGGATTGCCAAGATCGGAATGGGACGTGCACTGGCAGCGCCGCCGCGGGGTGCGGCCGCGACAAAGTCTCGCGACGTGTATCCCAGGTGCGAAAACAGGAAATATGTCGACCCCCATACCAGGCTTCGTGAAGTTTTCGAACTGACCAGAGATTTGGGGCCCAACCCTGGGATATACGACGGGGGGCGTCCATCCTCGAAAGGGGTGCGTCCGAATAGCTCCCTGGGGGTGGATCCCATGCTTTCCTTCTGAGCGGCCTCATGTTTCGTCGAATAGCCGGAGGTTTGGGATAGAAAACACCGCCTGCGATACGAGGGAGGGCGAGCGCTCAGTGGGCCCTGGAACCGATAGGGTCGTTGTTCCAGGGCGCCTCACTTCGCGCTCTCCGCGCCGCCCACTGGGGGAAGGAGAGGAGGACGCGGAGGAATCGGAGCCGAACCGCGAAGCGCGAATAACTTCGCGCCCTCGAGGGCGAAGTCCTTGGTGAACGTTTTCTTTTTCGGCGTTTCGACATTGAGCGAGGGGGGGGGTCTGGGTCCGGACCTTGCTTAGCGCGACTGTTTGCAGCAGTACCTCCTATGGGGGAGACTCCACCTACTGGAAACAGGCGCCAACAACAGCCAGGATCTACTCCAGGGGAGGGGGAGGGGCCCGCGCCGATCGGCAAAACAATGGATAAGAAAACAATCACAAGCGCGAATAGCAAGCGCGAATAGCTTCGCGCCCTCGAGGGGGCGTCCTTGCCTACAGACCTACCTGGACTGCTCAGACTTCGAATAGATATTGGACGTCGGCATCCTGGTGCAATGTTATGAGCCCTCCCGGGAAGGTCATGGGTGGAGGGGCGGCGCATGAGACTTCGAAGTGGGCATGGGAGGTGCCTTCCGCGAAGGGCGCCACGACGATTGGGAAGATCTCGTGCTGCCCCGACGGCAAATGAGATTGGCTGCTCATTCTGGGGACCTTCCTGGAGCCACTCGCTCCAATTGTGCGTCGAAGCTGCGTCGAACGTCTGTCGATTCGAGTCGACCTTGAGTCGAACCTGAGTCGAACCTGAATCGAATCTGAGCCGATCTTGAAGCGAATTGGGCCCCCCAGAGGCTCCCCCAAACGAGCATCTGAAGGAGGTGATGGAGAAAGCAATAGAGCCAGACGGAGGCGAAAGGAGCTCCACGTCTACACCGCGTCGTCGAGTCGGCCAGGAGCTCGGTGTGTCGACGCCCCGGCTGCCCAACCCTGCGCAACGCTGAGGAAGCGTCTGCACGCCGAACCTCCCCCGAGCTCAATGGCTCCCTGGCCGACCAAACGCCGTGGCGTGCACATCGAGACCCTCCGAGGAGGCAGGGGCAGCCGTGCCACCCTGGCGGCGGGGGCTCGAAGATCATCGTCTGCATCTCGGAGGGGAGGGCGCTGTAGACGGGAAGGATGATCAGCGGCGGCGGGCTCATGGACTCCAGCTGGCGGCACCGGGATGGCGCACCCCGCCCTCGGCCCTCCTGCTGCCCCACTCCCCTCCCGCACCCTGGCCATCGCTGGGACGACCAATCTCTGTGCTTTTTTCGGTTTCGTGCGTGTTTTTCTTGCCAAATGATCGGGGATGCTTCTCGAGGGTCCTCGGCGAGAGAAAAATGCACACGTCCGAGCGATGCCAAGCACCCTGCGACTCCTCTGGGCGGCGACATCCGAGCACCCTACCCCCTATCAGCCCTCGGCTCTCCCGAACCGATGGGAGAGGCGGGGATCGGGCTCGGATGGCACCGCGTGCTCGACGAACTCCGAACCCTGGCCTCCGCCGCCCATCAGCTTGCCTGAAGCGCTGATCGGCGAGGGTCGGGTTCGGAATTCGCCGCGGGCCCCCGTTCCATTCCGCACCCTGCGACTCCTCGTGCCCGCCCTTCCTTCGGGAGCGGCCACGACTGGGGGGCGTCCAAGCGGGGGGGGGGCGCAAATCATGGCCGGCGGCATGTGCGCGGCCCGGCGGGGGGGGGGGGCGGGGACGTAGTGAAATTCGCCGGCCCAACGGGCCAGAGGCGTGCTAAAATCTCCGGTAACTGCTCTACAATGTTTCTACTTCGCGCGCGCGGGGCGGCCCCTGGGGGTCCCCAGACGAAAAGTACCCCGACCAGGTCCCGGCCGGTCCCCGGCCGGGTCCCCCCGAGCGCTCCACGAGCGCACCAACAGGGCTCCGAAAACGTCCCCGAGGACCCAAACAAAACCAAGAGGCCCGCAAGAGGTCCCCAAGATGGTACACGAGGCGTCCGAGATGCCACAAGATCGCTCCAAGACGCCCAAGATGGCCCCCAGACGCTCCAAGAGGTCTCCAAGCGTACTCCCAAGAGGGCCCCAAGAGGCAAAATTCATTGCTTTTCCTTAGGTTTTGGACATATTTTGGCTTTTCCACCTTTTCCGCTTCCCGAAGCCCCAAGACAGCCCAAGACGACTCCAAGATCGCCCCAAGAGGGCTTAAGAGGCCCCCAAGAGAGCCCCAAGACGGCCCAAGAGGGCTCCAAGACGGCCCAAGAGGTCTCCAAGACGGCCCAAGAGGGCCCCAAGAACGCCTCAAGAGGGCCCCAGGGCGGGGACCCGAAACGACATTTCGAGCCCACGGCCCTACGAAGCCCCCGGGTAGCCCCAAAACCCGTAAGAAGCCCCAAGAGACCCCCCAGAAGCCCTCAGGATGCCCCCAAGAGGCCCCCCAACCGGCCCCAGGAGGCCCCCAAAATACCCCCCGGGCACGCAGGCAAGCGCCAGTGATGCTGCAATATGGGCCGGCGGAATGAGCGAAGCGATTGAATAAGAAGAGGCGCCATGAGATCTGGGAAGATATCATGGCCCCCGCCATGATATCCCCCCCCCCCTAGTCGTGACCCCCCTCTTCGCCGCCCCCGATCCTTCTCCTCGCTCTGGGACTGCGGAGGGCGGGAACGGAGCTCGGC